AATTTTTTTAAACGGACGAGAATTAGATCTTATTTTTGACTATGGAGTCCTACAGCTCTAATGAAACCTTCTATATAATTTTTTTTACTTTATTATGGTTGGTTTTCGTTTTTTTTTAAAAAAGTATTCTAAACTGTATAAATAATGTAAAATTAAAATAGGCAATCACGAACTTCTGCCTAGGGCATAATTAATTGGGTCCGGACAAGCTTAGGTTACACGAATCTCGGGGACAATGGTTAATTTTGATTTGGTCTAAGTCTTTTTTATAATAAAGGACTGGTTTTAGACCGGTCTTTATTATAATTCAGACCAAACTCAATAAATAACTGGGTTTACGACCATCGATCTTAAGACTATAGTTTAATATTAACCTGATTTTGAGACCATAGTTTATTTGAACTGGTCTCAACCTTATAACCATAGTTTATTTGGACTGGTCTCAAACTGATCTTGGGACTATAGTTTATACATATTAAAATTTTATTTATTATTTAGACCGGGCTTGAAACCGGTCTTTAACACAGTTTTAGGACCATTTTAGAACTATAACTTGAGCTAGGACCAGACTAAATCAAACCAGTCCATGGTTGGTCACACAGTCTATTAGTCCCTACACGTAATATCATATATAGCAATAGATGGTTTTTATTAACAAAAAGCTAACCCGTTTGATATTAGGATAAGGTTAGCGCTAGTTTTAGAGCTTACAGAAAAGTATAGTTTATACGTACTAAAATTTTGCAAGGAGTCTTTTTTGTTAGAACCTCAAAAATAGCTTTAATAAAAATTTTGAGAAATAATATCCGTGTCGGTGTATATGCGCATAGTATACAAATAGAAATTTTTTTATTATACGTACGTATACATATTGCTGTATTGTGGCGGATTAAAAAAATGAAATGAGTAATAGCAAGCCACCAAAAAATACAAAGTGTAATTTTTTAGGGTTAGGATTAGTAAACAAGTATAAGTGGGTTTTAGGGGGTCAAATAGAAACCCCTCATTCCGAATTCATTTATGATCCGCGACAATATACCGATACATATTAACTGTTAATAAATAAATTATATAGGATAAAAATTAATACGTAAGGGACTGGGCTAAGCACGTATTCTACATAGCCCTTTTTATGATAGTAATACGTGGTGTTACACGTGACACGCTATCCATATATAAAAACAAAACTTGTCAAATTCAATGATTGTAAATAAGAAAAATGAACTTCTTATCGGGAGCGGAAGACGCTGTTTCCTTAGAAAAACTGCGAAATACGCTAATTAGATTAGAAGATACTATAATTTTCGGTTCGTTTATATAAAGCTCTGGCATTTTTTTTTTTAAATGCAATTAATTTTTTCCTACGAAACAAATAGCTCTCATAGAAAGGGCACAATTTAGTCATAATAAACTTGTTTACGAGCCCGGGAAATATAAGTATAAGGACTGCGAAGATTTTGAAGGAAGCTTCTTAGAGTACTTTTTACGAGAATCGGAAAGGGTACATGGTATGTATAAAAAACAAACGGATAATTGTTATTGAGTGACTTACATTATTTTCAACAGCAAAAATGGGGAGATATTGCAGGTGAATATGCAAAAATTCGGCACTATAATTTTTTATCCTGCTAACAAATTAATTGAAATGAATTTATAAAGTCCCGATGAATACCCCTTTACTGAACATCTTCCCGATCCAATCATCCCCCCTCTTGAATACCCGCCAATTCTTAAGCAAAATAACATTAATGTCAACGCGAAAATAATGGAATTTTATATTAATTGCATTGTCCCCTCGTTATGTGCCATGGATGATGACAAAAATTATGGTTCTGTTGCGACGCGAGATGTTACATGTCTTCAATCCATATCTCAGAGAATTCACTATGGTAGGGTTATATTTCAATTGTTTATTATTTTTGTAACAAAAATCTCATTTCTTGAAAAAAAAAGGGAAGTTTGTTGCTGAAGCGAAATTCCGGGATCCAAACCTTCAACCAAAGTACATCGAACACATAAAATCTCGCGATTCCAAAGCCATTGAGGAATTATTAACAAACAAAAAAGTAGAAGAAGATTTGCTAAAACGCCTTAAACGTAAAGCCCTCATTTATGGTCAAGATATAACTGAGACTGGTGATTTTAATTTAGATGCGGAACATGCTTCAAAACATTTAAAAATCAATGTGGATTTAGTTGTTGAAATGTATGAAAAATGGATAATTCCTTTGACGAAGGAAGTTGAGGTTGCTTATCTTTTAGAACGTCTTGACGACGGAACGAAATTTCATACAAACTTATAAAAATATTATTTATTTTTGGAATCATAGCAATAAAAAATCTTACTAATTCGTTGATTGGTTCATAAACATGCATACATGTAAAATATGTAAAATCTTACCTGATGCTTATATTAGGTAGTTCAAATTGCGTGACTCGTGACATTTTCGAGTCATTTTCGTGTTTCTTTTGTGTCACATCATATGTTGAATAGATTTTGTTCCGCCTGTTAGTCAGCGTTAAAAACTCGGCTAATTAATTTAGAGCGTTCTTTTAACATTACTTTAGTAGGTGCAACTTATCAACTTAGTTTTCTAATTTACGATCCATATTTAAATAACGTGTCTAACCTTTGAATTGTTAGAAATGGATACCTCAACGCCAAGTACACCTCCTGGACCTCAAAACGAAACAAACACTACAAACGAAAATTTAAGTAACGCGAAGACTCCTCCTTCAACTGTTCCTATTGCATCTCCGTCATTATTAGGTACACCCTCTACACCAACACCTGCAACACCAGAATCTACCACATCTCTTCCAAGGCCAAGCATAGGTCCAATATATTCCGCGGTTTATTCCGGAGTACCGGTTTATGAGTTTCTTGTACGAGACGTAGCTGTGATGCGCCGGCGTCCGGATTCTTACTTGAACGCCACGCAAATTTTGAAAGTCGCTGGTCTTGAAAAAGGTAAACGTACAAAAATTATCGAAAAAGAAGTTTTAACTGGTGATCACGAAAAAGTTCAAGGTGGTTATGGCAAATATCAGGGTACTTGGTAAGCAATATATACATTAGTAAATGTTTATTGTAAAATGATTTTTTTTTGATTGGAAAATGGCTTGCATTGCAAGCAGGCAAGCGATTCAACATTATTTTGATAATTATTCGTGTAAATTTTATTTTTAATATCGAGTCATGCGTGTGACAATTAATTGACACGAATAATTTATATAAAATATTGTTTTGTATACAATGAACATTACTATTATCTTTTATCTCGAACTATTCAACTCATCGTTAATTATATTATGACATTTTAGGGTTCCATATGAAAGAGGAAAGGAACTTGCTGAACAATATGGGGTTCTTGAGATTTTGCGTCCTTTATTAGAATATAAACCACCTAAACATGATATACCTTATTCATCATCTCCATATACTCCAACTAAAGAACAGGCGATGGCTGCTTTGCGTAGACAAGCTGCAAAGGCCACTACTCCCGCTATTCAGTCGAACGCTCAATCCGATGCTCAAACCAACGGGGACTCTTCCTTGCTATCTAATAATGAAAACGAGAACGAAGCTCCTACAGTAACAAATTTTGAGGCTTCTGAACCACCTCTAACGGTTGCAGAAATGGACGAAGAGGAACGTCACAGAAATGTTCTAATGGCAATATTCCTTAATGAAGACCCGAATCAGATTCCAGATCTTCTCTCAAACCCGTCTTCTCCGGATGATATTGACTATGACGTTATCATTGATAGTCACGGTCATACAGCTCTTCATTGGGCGGCTGCTCTAGCCCGATTACAAGTTATGGAATTATTGCTGACAAGGGGTGCTAATGTACGTCAATTGAATTATGAAGGTGAATCTGCTTTAGTACGCGCCGTTCTTGTCACCAATAACTATGAAGCACAAAATTTCCCTGCTGTTCTTGATCTCCTTCATGAAACTATCCCATCGACTGATAAAGATAATCGAACTGTTTTTCATCATATTTCAATGACCTCTGGTACCAAAGGCCATGCTGCTGCTGCAAAATATTATATGGATTGTATGCAGCAATGGATCGCTCAAAATGTTGATGGAAACCTTTCCACGATTTTAAATATTCAAGATAAAAATGGTGACACAGCTTTAAATATTGCTGCTAGAGTAGGAAATACTCAGTTAGTTCGTCAGCTAATAGAAATGGGTGCTAGCAAGCAGATTGAAAATAAGATAGGTTTAAAGGCAATAGACTTTGATCCAACTGAACGTATTGATATTGACGATATAAATGTAAGTTTATAAATTATTTACTATCCCTTCATACGATATAAAAAAAGATAATAAATGCATTGTTTCGTTCTCGGATAGGATGTGAGACTAGAGCAAATTGACTTTTTTACTCAGCCAATCACTTCAACTTTTGTTAATCCCCGTAGAAAATCAAAAGAAATAGTGTCAGGTAATTAATTTATTATTATTATTATTATTATTAGTTTTCCTTTTTTGTTGATTGATTAAGACAATTCCAAGCAATAAGTTTTTATGCAATATATATTTTACCATTCGATACATGTTCATTTAGGTATTCAAAAATTAGTTGAAGAGGCTGAAACAGAATGGATTGAGCAGCTTAGATTAAAAGATGAACAACTGGTTGACTTGCAACGTCAATGCAATACAACTTCAAGGCAACTTGTCGAAGCAAGGCGAATATTACATTATTTTCGTCAGCAAGACAAGGAATTCGATGAAACAGAAGAGTACATTAAGTTTCTTGAAAAAGTATTGAACACTGAAGATCAAGATGATTATGCTGTCCCGCGTAAGCGTCAAAAAATTGAGCATTCAAATGGAACTACCACTGGGTTAGATGTTCTTTCAGTTATTTCTACTACCACTCCAATAACAAAGACGGATGTTTCTATACCAGAAATTGAAGTACATTTGCCACAGAATGTGCCATCACCACCCTCTACGATGAATTCACAACCAATTGCATCAACTATTGGTGTGACACCTGTTCGGATACAACAAGCTCAGCTTATAGCCAATCCTACGACCTCTATAAACACAGGAACATTGCCACCGTCAACTATTTCGATTAAAGATTCAATATCGACGTCACAGGATATCAACGAGTCAGCCACACATGTGATATCATCACTGTCGAATACGCCTTTTGCAACTGATGCTGTATCAACATCCTCTTCCGCAGCACATCCAATAACTTTTCCATCGTCAACGAGAGTAGTCCCCACTGCATTCTCTTCGTCCATGGTTGTTCCAACAGCTTTTGCATCAACCACGAGAGCAGTTTCACCCTCGATGACATCATACAGCACTCCAACAAATAAACCGCCAACAATAACGATTACCCCCCCTCCGAATACTACGCAGTCGTCTCAAACAATCAAGCCACTATTCCCAACTTCTCCGGTCTCGTTTACTTCGTGTGTCTCACCCATAAAACCTTTAGTAGATATGAAAACGGAAAATGAAATCAGAAGTCTTCAAGCACAGATAAATGCATATTCAAAGGATGAGGATTTACTTCGACAAGAAATTAACGAATTAAAAGGAAAATCATCGAATGCTGAATTGCAATGCAAGAAGATCATTGCATCATGCTGTAAAACCGAGCTGGACAAGGTTGATGATTGTGTTGAAGCGATATTACAGGCAATGGAAAGTGATAGTGCTGATTTTAACTTTTCTAGGATCAAGGATTTGATGAGCAGAGTACGCTGTGAAGAAATGGAAGATACAGTCGACTCTCTTTATTAGAGGTTGGAATCGAATATTCGAATCTATTCGTATTAAGTATGAATTTGGATTAATTCGAATATTTAAAACCATTATACAGTTAGGGTATAGACATTTATCACCTGATTTTTTTGGGGAGAGGGGTCAGGAGTTATCAGGTGCTATATAATGTAGTATTATTAGCCAATTAAAATTGTCCAATATAATAATATAAAATTTATTATTAATTATATATCAGTTATAGGACATGTTTTTGTACAGGAATTTTTATTGCTGTTACTTATAAATCAAATGAATTGACACTAAATTTTATATACGTATAAATTTTTACAAAAAAATTACTAAATTTAATTTATTTAAAAAAATATATATAAAACTTGAAATTTAAATATATATATTTTATTATTTTATAATTTTTTAAAAGTTGTTTTTTAATTTTAAAAAAAAATTATTAAAGTTAATATATATTGTTATAATTTTTGTAAAATTAAATTAAATAACTGATTTATATTATAAAAATTGTTTTTTTATAATATAATAATTTTGTTATATTTAAAAAAATTATATTAGGTTGATAGTATAATGGTTATGCTCTGAGGTTACAAATTACAAGGCTGCTGGTTTGAATCTTAATGATAGCAATTGTAAAAATGTATTTCTAAAATAGGGAATTATAATACTAATAAATAGACTTATTTCTAAAAATGTCAAGTAACCTGTAATTAAAAAGTCATATAATAATGATTATAAATTAGAATCTGATTTGAAATAACTAAAATCATAAAACATAATATAAGGTTGAAAGTTTGACATTTATAAATATTATATAAACTTATGATAATAGTCAGTTTTAAACAAAGTATAATGAAATCTTTTGATCTTAACAGAAATCAATATGATGAATTGCTTTTAAAAAATTTAAAAATACAAACAGAGAAAGATCAAGATCTAGTAATTTTTAATATTAAAAACATTATTTAAAAATATATATAGATACTAAAGATTTTAGCAAAATTGTTAAAGAAGAAAAAATATATATATATTTATATTCTTTTTATAATATTTATATAATTTTTATAATATATATATATTTTATTTTTCTTCTTTAACAATCTTGTTAAGAATTTTCTTTATATTTTTTATATTTATTTCAAACTAATGTTTTCAATATTCAAGATTACTGAATTTTAATCTTTTTCAGTTTATATTTTTAAACTTTTTAGAAGCAATTGTCATACTGATATTTGCTAAGATTAGAAAACTTTATCAAACTTTGTATAAAACCAGTTATTATTATAAGTTTATATAGTATCTCTCATTATCAAATTTTTGGCCTTATATTATATCTTATAATTTTAGTTATTCCAAATTAGACTCTAACTCATGTTCATTACTGTGTGGTTTTTTAACTGCAGATCACTTGTTATTTTTAAAAATAAATTCATTATTGAACATTCTAGGTCTCTAATGTCACAGTGTTGCAGTTTTCTATTTTTAAAAATACATTTCTATAATTGTTATTACTAGAATTTAAACTAACAGCCTTGTGATTTGTAACTTTAGAATATAACTGCTATGCTATCAACTCTAGAAATTATAATATTTATATTATTTTTATAATATTTATATTAATATTGTTTTTTTTTTTTTTTTTTTTTTGCTTATGCTAAGGCCTTTTAGTTATGGCAGCTACTGCCTTTATTGTGAATTCAATTATGATTACATAACTTGTACAAGGTTACCCCTATACTACACTAGCAGATAGTAGCACAAGCTCCTGTACACCTAATTAGATGCCATCTAACCTAACCTTGACTTCTCTGTCTATACATCTGTCAAGCCATTACACATTTCAGAGTATGTCACCTGACTATAGGGCTCCAGGGGGCCTCCCTGCTAACTAACTACCCATATTTAATCTTTGCTAACAGGGCTCGCCCTTGCAAAGTTCACCCAGACCCCAGCATTGACTTCATAGCATATCCCTAGTACTTTAGTATACCTCTGTTTTCAACCTCAAACTCCCAATCCAGATAGCCTGGTGGGACTGTGACCTGTCCCTAGTACCTCAGGGTCTGCCCCCAAGGTCCTTTTCCTTCAGTTTGAGTCTTCTGGTGGCCTGGTTGGTAGTACCCCTCACTGAGGTTCTTGCCTGTCCGATTTCTTCCACATTGGTGTCTGTTTCCTAGGTCTAGCCTTTACAGTAGTACTGTTGAAGATCTGTGTTACCTCTCTACTCGGGTCTTTCCAAGTGGGCTTTAGTTATCCCAGTTCATAGATTTACATGACCACAGATGCCCCATGACCTGCCAGTTATCTGGTATGACCGTGTTACAGGTACTGATCCCAACTGATCGATAGATAGCTGTTGCCGTATTACCAGTTTCAAGGACTTATCTTGTGTTTGCACCGCTCAATACTGGTTTGCATTTCTCTGTATAACTCCAATATTGCACAGATGCCCGTATATACTGATGTAACATAGGTGGTTTTCCAAATTTTTGCCATCAGTAGGTTTTGAACTCCCAACCTACTACTTGGGGGGTTGACAACTTATTCACTTCACTAAGTCACCACACCCCTGTATTAATATTGTTAATTTTAATTTTTAATAATAATTTATAATTTTTAAATAGAAATTTCTAATAATAAAAATTTTAATAATATTATTATTTTTTGTTTTTAGTAAAGTTTTAGTAGTTTTTTTAATATTTTTAATTAATAATTTTTTTTTTAGTATTAAGATAATCTCTTTGGTCTTTTGACTTTTATTAATGACTTTTTTAGTAATATGATTTAATTAACTATTACAAGAGAATATACAATTAGTTATATATATAACGTTTCTATATTACTTATTTAAAAAGTCTGTCTAAAAGTTTCTTACTAATTGTTATATCTAATATTTCTGCTTAGATATTTCATTTTAAACCCTCTAAACTTGCAATCTGTATTAATATTACTAAACTATATTCAAATGCCTAGATCATTATTTCAACCTTAAAACTATTTTATTCTTAAGATAAATCTCTTAGAACTTTCTGTACATATTATTATAGCTAATTCAGTATCATTATGACAGAACCAATATTTGTAATTAGAGTTATATTATTTAAGCACTATGCTCTTGTAAAGTTTACTTAAATCTCAGTATTTATTTTACATCATAACTCTAATACTTTAGTATACTCTTGCTTTTTTATTAGATTCCTAATTTGGATAGTCTATATAGAATTATAAGCAGTCTATTAATATATTAGGTTAGTCTGATATTCTTTTTCTCTAGTTTATTCTGATAATCTAGTTAGTAGTACCTCCAAGACTCTCAACTCAGAGATTTTTGTTTATCTAGATACTATAACCTTGGTATCTGTTTTTTTGGACTAGTTTTTACAGTAAAACTATTAAAGATTTAACTATTTTTTTATTTAGATCTTTCTAAATAAACTTCTTATTATTCAATTTTAACAGATTTATATAATCACAAGGACTTATCTAATGTTTGTATTATCTAATTATAAGTTTGTATTCTTTTATATAATATCATACTTATACAAATATCTCATAACCTGTTAGTCATATTGATATAACTATTATTACAGATATTTTAACCTATTTATTAAGAACAGTTGCTATAATACAAATATTATATAGATGATTATTTAAATTTTTGTTATTAATAGAATTTGAATATCCAATCTACTACTTAAAAGATTAACAACTTGACCACTTTACTAGGCTTTCATATCTTTATTTTTTAATTAATAATATTAATTTATATATATATATATATTTTAATATTAAAGATTAGTACTTGCAAACCAAGTTTTTATTGATAGTATGTTTTAGCTTTATGGTTATATTATTACAACAGCTACAGGAGGCAACTATAGAAAAAATGTACAACTAGCCACTTATACAACTTTAGTCATTGTCTAATTTAAATAGTCTATCTAAAGGTTCTATATTAGTTGCCATACCTAGAACCTATTTGTAGATTCTCTATTTAAATACTTTAGTTTTTGTATCTATCTATCTACCTATTCTACTAACTGTTTCAGTTTTATCAATATACATTTACCATAGTCACTAGGTCTTTAAAGTAGTTTATTTACATAGTAAACCTTTAACCTTGTACTAAACTTACTGAAGCCTTCTGTTATCTAATTTTTAGCTAACTCAGTATTGCTATGACTAAGACTAACACTTGCAATCAGGATAATTCTTAAACTGCTACACCTTTGTAGAGTTTATACAATTCCAGTACTTCCTTTTACAATCTTATTAGTATCTTATATATTCTTGCAAGTCCTCCTATACTACCAATCTAGTTAGCTCTGTATAATGCTACTTCATACTCAGTTCAACTGTAGTCAGGTTAGTGGACCTCTTTAACTAAAGTTTTTGTTTATACAGATTACCTGCCTTAGGTTTTTATCTCTAAATCAAGATTTTCACAAGTAATACTATTGAAAGTCATACTATTTCTTTACTTGGAATTTCCAAATAGAGCTTCTTATAAAGTATATACATTCTGGATTTATTTGTATAATATTGTATATTTCCAAAGTTAGTCTTGATGCAACTAGAATTACAGAGTTACAACTCCAGATACCCTATACAAGTTATCAGAATAGACTATTTTTTAAATTTTTTACTACCAGTAAGATTTGAACTTTAAACCTACTGCTTGAAGAATGACAACCCAAATATTACATTATAATCATCATTTTCTATTAATTTATATTATTATATATTATATATATATTATATATATATTTTTTTTTAATATTTTAACAGTTTGAATATAATGTAAAAAAATTAATAAATAAAAAAAAAATAGAAATAACAAATAAGATAAAAAAAAATTAAAAAAAAAAAAACTTACTAAAAAAAAAAACAAATTAATAAAGAATAAAAGAAATAAAAACAAGAAAAAAATAAAAATAAATTAAGAAAGAAATCAGAAAAACAATATTAAGACTTGTTATAAAAAAGAAAAAACTTATTTATTATAAACTTTAAATAGTCAGACAAGTAGTTTACTTTTGTTTAAAATAATATAACATGTTGTACTTAAGTAATTTAAAAATAGCTGAATAATGCTAAACTTAGTTATTAAAAATATTTATATAATTATAAATATAATTTCAAAATCTTAATTAAGTA